CAGCTGGGATCAGGCAGTTCCCTGGGGCCAGGAGGCGCGTCTGTGCAGCTTCTTCCTACCGCCCTAATGGAGCAGAGGAAGTTTTCAGAATCCCCTGGAGGAAGTGCCCTGGGGCTCTTTGTTTGGAAACATTCTCGGATCCTCAGGTGTCTCGGGCACTTCCTCTCTCCAGAGGCCATTCTCCAAGCACAATTTTTGCACATGACTTTAGTTCTTTTATTATTATTTTTTCTCCAGGGGGTGTAGTTCCCGAGACTGTGAACTGTTGAATAGGGAGGAGCCTGTTTCCCCGCAGGCACAGATATTGGGGGTGAACTGGGGGCTCTTCCGCCCAGGTCGGTCTAGACTCTTGAAGGGTCTTCTGGGCCTTCCAAGAGGCTCCGGAAACAGGCTGCAGTCTGGCCCCTGACTTCCCTTCACACGTGCCCCAGGGGCCGACAGAGAAGTTGATGAAAGATGGGGGACGGGAGAGGCCTCATCCAAGGGGGACCCGGTTGGGGCAGATCAGTGCCACTGGCCTGGGAGTCTGTGTCCCTGGGGCCTGAGCCGCGGATAGGAGCAGGGATCTTGGAGGCAGCGAAACGCGAGGGGCGGGCGGGGCGGGCGGGGCGAGCGGGGCGAGTCCGACCGGGTCGCGCAGCCCCAGGGTGGGGTCGCTGGGCAAGGGGTAGGGAGGTGGGGGGAATCTTGGCCAGGCCGGTGGAGGGCGCGGGTCTCGAAAGAGCCGGCCGCCCGGCCCATCCGCCCCGTCGCCTCGCGGACGGCCCCTCCGCGGCGCGGCTAGGCCCATGGCCCCAACCTACCGGCGCCGCCGCGGGGACCCAGGACGCGCCTCTGCGCCGCCTCCGCTGCTCCAACATGGCCGCCCGCTGCGCACCGGAAGTGCGCTACACTTCCGCTTCCGGGACCTGGCCCGCCCCAGTGACCCTTGACACCCCGAGACCCCGTTTCCCCCAAAGTCTAGGGACAGGGCAGGTGGGTACCAAGGAAGGCTTCCTGGAGGAGGTGGCAGCGGGAAAGGCTCTAAATCCATCCGGAACTGTGCAGAAGTCTGAGGAGCGGAGGTGCACTCAGACTTGTCCCAGACAGGGCTGCTAGGACTGGATTAGGGCCTGACACCCCCTTTGAGGGACCTGGTGGTGCAGCAACATCTGGGAGGGATTCCCTGCAAGCTCCAAGCCCTCCTCCAGGCTCTGGTCCTCCCATAGCCACAGACAGAGCCTACCTCTGTCCCAAGTTCCTGACCAGAAGGAAAGAGAAATGCCCCTTGCCTGCCTGGGAGTGTTGCAGGGGTATCTCCTCAAGGGCAGCAGGCCCTCCAATCTTCCCAAGAATGAGGCCTGCATGTGGGATGAAAGGTTGATGTACACACACATGCTGCACACAATCCCAAAGCTGGGCATGTCCAATCTGAGAGTCCTAGCATACCAGTGTACTTGCCTAGGAATATGTGCATGGGTGTGGTGGGAGAACCCTTGCCCAGCCTCAGCCCCTTCAATGGCAGGAAGTCCTGCCTCCAGTCTTAACTCTGCCCAGAATCCTTATCCTTTTGCCTAGGAGACTGGGACCTCAATCTTGCTACCTGTACCCTGGGGTCAGCAGAGGGCTGGTGGTTACAGGGCCCACTGCCCAAGCAGCATCAGATGTGAGAACACAGATCGAAATGAGCCCTTGAAGTCCAAGAGGTCAGACTCTGACCATAGGCCCCTCTTTGCACCCCCCCACCCCCACCCAAGTCCAGGCTGGGAGCCAGCATGGAAGCTCTGGTTTCAAGATGAGATAATGGGGACATATGCTCTTCAGTCAGAGCCTGAACTAGGAGGCAGAAATATTGCCACAACACTTGGATCCTGATATGTACAATGGTGCCATATTTGGTAGCTGAGGGGTAGGTGAAAGCCTGTGGATGGGTGGGTGGATGCTTCATTTAGGGACTGGTTAATAGCTTTTCTCCCTCCCTGTATGACCTCATTATCCTCAGGCTTGTTCTACATTTCTGCCAATTTAAAAGAGTCTGGACACCCCTAAAGAGAAACACCCAATGCACGCTAGACCTCATCTGGTAACTCTGAGCTTCCCAGGACCTCAGCACTGATAGGAGGTCCTCAGTACCTTTGCGCATAGCCAAGGTGTCCAACAATAAAATGCAAACTCTCCTCCTCCTTTGAGGTCCGTGCTTCTAGCCCTTCATTCTGTTAGAAAGAAGGGAAATGCGGAGTCCCAAGGTTCAGGGTCTCCTGGAACAATCAGGAAGTCCCACCTTAGTATGCCCAGTCCTCAACTGTGGGTGAGTCCAGTATCTGACCCATCTACGGTTGAGAATTAGCTGCCACTCTCAGGACAAATATCACCTCATCTTCTGTGCCAGTTGTCTTCCACAGCTTCTCCAAAGCCAGCAGTGTTGACCTCCCATGTTTAGGGGGAGGCCAGGACTGTGTAAACAGAAGCCAGTCCCATGAAGAGTCAGAGCCAAGCTTCCAGGGATGGCATGGATTCAGGTGCGTCCTGGAAAGGGGAATCCCTCTCTGGTGATGTCAAGCCCAGAGTTCAGTACAAAAATAGAGGACCAGGTAGGGCAGGCCCATCCCCAGGCTGTATTCCTTGCAGACATTAGAACTGGGGGGATAGTAGGGTTAGGGTCAGGGTCATGGGTACCTAGCATCCTGAGGGGGAAGATGAACCTTCTTCTGCCTCTTGGTGCTCAGTATGTTCCAGACGGAACTCTAGGAGCAAAGTATGACTTCACCTGGATTTTGGTGGATGTTGACCCTGTAGGCATAACAGGGATTGGAAAGGATGAAGTTGGTAGAGACAACAGGGTCATCCCAGGACCCAGCCCTTGCTCTCCATTTGGCACCTTTTGCAGCCCTGAGTGATGGACCTTAGACCCATTTCCACCTGACCAGAGAGATCTAGTGGAAATCTAGTTGTGAGTGAGACCAGTGGGCCTGGGAGGGATCACCAGGAAGGAGTTTATGTGACAAGGAGAAAAACCAAGGCTGGATCTTGAGGAGCTACTTCCTGGGGAGAAGAGGAAGCAAGCAAGGCCTTCAAAAGATGCTGAGAAGCAGGACGAATTTGAGCAGAGGTGCCAAGGTCACAAGAAATGAGCTTTGAAGATGTCAGCATGATTTCAGTTATGACAAAGACCATAGGGACCTGTAGTATGGTGTTCCATAGTGACTTTGGCAAGAGCAGTTTTGGGGGAGCAGTGGACATAAGGTAGCAGATATGAAGGTGACTGAAGGGGAGGAAAGGGAGACTGGAGGGACTGAGCATACTGGGAGTATCTCAAGGTAGGAAGATTTTAAGTGCTTAATTGGTGGAGAGGGGAAAAGGTCTAGAAAGGGAAGAGTGGTAAATGTAAGGGGTTTTGCAGAGCAATGTGAACACCCTGTAGAGGAAGATACCGGTGCCCTAAGTGAAGAGGAAGTTGGGAGCAGAGTCCACGTGTCCATCTGTCTGTTTACTGATTTGCCTGTGACTATGGGTAGATGCACCCTGCTCTGACCACGGATGGAAGCCTTCTAGCTAGATTCTGTAACTGGCCTTGGTATGACCATTTCCATGGAGGCCTTCCAACTCCAATTGCCTGCCTGTAAAAGGGGCTGGATACCCTCTCTGGTCATGAAAAGGCTCTGCCCACACTCACAGTTGGCTTCAGAAGTTAGGCTAACCAAGGAGTTAATGCCCCCAAGCAGCTCTCAATCCATGACTGATGGAGATTTGAGAATGAATTCCTCAAGCAACCTTTGCTCTGGGAAGCAACCCAGAATGATTCGGTCCCAGTTGCCCACAGTGGTAACTTGCTTGATGACACAGCCTTTATTGGCTGCTTTCTCTTTTTGCCACTCCTCCTCTGGTGTGTCCTGGCCTCACCTCCCACATTAACTGTAGGTACTGGTATCTTCATTTCCAGATGTGCTTCTGGGGAAAGTGAGACACACACCGTCCATGAAAGAGGGACAAGATAGTAGCAAGCACAGACAACCACAAGGAATTCTCCTAGGTGACCGCCAACCTGCCCAAACGTTCTGGCAGCTCACAGACTTAACCGATACTCTGAATATCCCGAAGATAGGCTGGGCTAGGGCCAGGGTCTGAAATAGATAGGGCTCCTGTCACACCAGTTTGTTCTCACCTGATTCCAGAGCTGGCCACAGGCAGGCCCAGGACGCTGGACATGAATAGTCACAAAATGTCTTGGGTTCTTAGTAGCTCAGGCCTCAGGCCCTACAGAGTGACCTGCATGGGAGGTCCCCTGGCCTCTGACTCTTGAAGCTCATCCCTTGCTCGGAGCTACCCTCCCAGCAAGAACTTCCCCCACACAGACCTGTGGGAGGGACTGTCAGGCACTGAGGCCGGTACTGCCTGCTCCTCCATTCCCTGCTAGCCTCAATGTCCACCGTAAGACCTCTTCCTTGTCTTGCTATGTGCCTGGGGAGGTGCTACCCAGCCGCCGCCCCTAACAGAGGCCCGGGCCACGCCCCAAGTGGCCTCCAGGGGGCGCCGCCGCGAAGCCTGTCTTAGAGCTCCTACGAGCTCAGTGCCGGTGGGCGGGCGCCGGCCCCTCAAGCCTGCTGGTTCTGCTGGCCCGCCCCCCACCCCCCCACCCCCCCACCCCCCCACCCCCCCACCCCGCGGGCGCTCCTAGGCTGGGTCCCGCTCAGAGCGGTCCCTCACCATACACGTGTTGTGCTGCTCAGTGCTGCCTCAGTTCTCCCCCAGCCCGAGGTCGGACTCTAAATCCTGGGCAGGCCCAGCGTCCACATGTCCATCTGTCTGTTTACCGATTTGCCTGTGACTATGGGTCGACGCGCCCTGCTCTGGCCACGGCAGGTGCAGGGTTAAGGCGGGGGGGGAGGGGGGGAGATTTTCCCGAGTCGAGAGGGTGGACGAGGGGCGGACCCGGTCCAGCCCCGCCCCTCGCCGAGCCAAGCCGGAGCCCCGCCGGAGCCCCGCCGGAGCCCCGCCGGAGCCTGGCCTCAGCCCCAGCCAGAGCCCGCACGGAGCCGGAACGGCGGACCCCGCGTCCCGGCGGCGCCGGAGCCCCGGCCGGTGAGTCCCGCAGGAGCCGCGCTCAGGGGAAGTTTGGGGCGCGGGGCGCAGAGCCCCAAGCGCGCTCGCCGGGACCCGCCCCCCCGCCTCCCGCGGGCTGGAAGTTTGGGGCCAGGAGACCATCACGCCGAGGGTCCCAGAAGCTTGGCCCCCGCGGGAAAGGAGAGGCTGAGGAACTTGGGGATCTGCTGTGAGGGGGTTCGGAAGTCCAGCTGCTCATTCCTACTGGAAACGCCCTGGACTATGGGAGTCTGGAGTCCTAATGGTCATGGGATCCCAAAATCATCCCCCTCCCTACTTCTGGACACCAAGGAGACGGGCCTCTGGGAACCTGGCATGGGCGAACCCCTAAGAGTAGTCCTGAAGGGGGAATGTGGGACCCTGGCGTCCAGCTCCTCTCCTCCCAAATGCCCTGATCTTGGCCTTTTGCTGGTGGGAATGGATGATCTCTATGGAACGGCCCCCAAAAGGGTTGTAAGTATACCCTGGAGTCTGACCCCGGGTTGTCCAGGGCGCACTGGAAGGCAGTAAGGGGAGGGTACAGTAGGACTCTATTCGTGCAGAGCACCAGCGTGAGGATTGTCAAAAGGAAGGAAGTCACCTGACCTGCTACCTCGACCTAGATCTGAAGGGGGAGGGAATGTTGGGTGTTCTTAGGTGAGGTCAGGGGTTGGGGGGAGAATCCCTCATGCCCCATAGGAAGGGGAGAAGTTCCCTGAGTATTTGGGAATCTGCCCTCTTTCCCACCCAGGAGGGCTCTGAGCTACAGTGGTGCGCTGGCTAGCAGGGGTAGGTCAGGGGTAGGTCCTCCCTGTGCCTTTCCCACCAGTGATTTTGGGCCAGCCCTGCCCTCAGCTACAGACTGCTCAACTGTACACTGAGGGGCTGCTCAGTGGCCCTGACCCTTTGTTTTCCCTCTCTCCTCCAGGTGAAGGCAAGGTCCCTGAACTGGTCAGACACTGCCTGTGGGCCTGATAGAGTCAAGAGGAGGCCCCATCATGCCCCTCAGTGAGGCCTGCAACCTGAGCAGATAGTATGGCCTGCCACTGGAGGTGAACACCATGGCTACAGGCGGTGGCCGGGCCTTTGCTTGGCAGGTGTTCCCACCCATGCCCACCTGCCGGGTGTACGGCACAGTGGCATACCAGGATGGGCACCTGCTAGTGTTGGGGGGCTGTGGCCGGGCCGGACTGCCCCTGGACACTGCCGAGACCCTGGACATGGCCTCACATACATGGCTTGCACTGGCCCCCCTGCCCACTGCCCGGGCTGGTGCAGCTGCTGTGGTGCTGGGCAAGCAGGTGCTAGTGGTGGGCGGTGTGGATGAGGGCCAGAGTCCTGTAGCTGCCGTGGAGGCCTTCCTGGCTGATGAGGGCCGCTGGGAGCGTCGGGCCACCCTCCCTCAGGCAGCCATGGGGGTTGCAACTGTGGAGAGAGGTGAGTGGCCTTAAGGGAGTCCCTCAGGCACCCCCACACCCTCTATTCCTTTCTGACTTGGTCCCTTACCCTCAGAGATTGGACAAGAGCTGTACATTTTGCCCGAGTGCCCTGGACACAGCTTTGACTCTTGTAAAGACCGCTCCTACCTAGGTCTGAGTTGAGCTAGCAGCGGCCTTAACTGCCCTTTCCCACTGTGAAGTGGGAGGCAGAGCCCAGGCTGGTCCCCAGCATGCTGGGAGGCCCTAACCACCTCCTTGCCCATTCCTCTTTTCTAAGAGACAAGGAGGGGTAGCCCAATGACTCTCAGGGTTATAAATAGTCTAGGGGTGGGGGAGGGGAGCAGGGCCTTGGCTCAGAGCCCAGTAAGTGCTTAGATTCCCTTCCCCCTCTTCCTCCCATATACACATTTACCAGGGAGCCTGAGATGGGAAGGCCAAGTTGGCCTGGGGATAGTTGCCATGGAAGCCCTCAGCTGACTGACCCATCTCCCCAAGGCCTCCAGACATACCCCCATATGACCCGGGGTGTGTAACAGGGCCAGAATCTCCTCCAGGGAAAGGATGAGATACAGAGGTGCTGGCAGGGCTTCTGGGCAGAAGGCTTGCAGCCAGCACCCCTACCGACAGGCCTAAGCCCCTCTCCTATCCCCCAGCTGATCCCCAGAGATCCCTCCCCAGGTTGAGTTTATGCTTAATAGATCCGCATATGCCCCTCCCTGGCTTAAGCCATCCTCCAGCCTTCTTCCCCTAGAGGAGCCCCCACCTTGTGGCCTCCAGGTCTGACCACCGGTCCTGCTTGGATGCCAGACTTGGTTGCCATAGCATCTCCAGGGAGACAGAGATGAATTATAATTAGATCATCTGCCTCCTGCTCTTCACTTGGAGGGGCCCTGGCCAGAGCAGGAATCCTAGCTCTCCCAGCCACCACTCCAGGAAGGAAGGAGGGTTTCTTTGCTGTTTGGGAGGAGTACTACAAACATGTGGGTCCCCAGCCACGCCCAGGCCTGACCAGGATAGGGTGCCCTGGCCAGGCTGAGGTGCACTCTGAATTGCTCTTTTCTATGCAGATGGTATGGTGTATGCTCTGGGGGGAATGGGCCCAGACACGGCTCCCCAGGCCCAAGTTCGGGTCTATGAGCCCCGGCGGGACTGCTGGCTTTCGCTCCCCTCCATGCCCACACCCTGCTACGGGGCTTCTACCTTCCTGCACGGGAACAAGATCTATGTCCTGGGTAAGGGCCTGGGGTATATGGGAAAGGGGCTCAAAATGCAGAAACACCTATCCCCATAGGTTGGCTGGGATCAGGTTTAGCCTGAGATGGCAGGACAAGAGAAGCTTTGAGTGAGCCAGGCTTGCTTGGAGATTTTGACCTCTGGTGGCCCTCCTGGGCTGGAAAACCATGCCCCCGGTGCCCGAGGATCTGCAGGGTAGGGGATCCATGCTCTGGTGTGCACACAACTGGGTATGGGGGTCTAGGGTGGGCAGTGGTGAAGGCTTAGCAACCTGGTGAAGGAGGAGCCTGCTGGGCCTCCAGGCTCTTTCCCAGGTGCCCCAATTCCATTGGCAGGGGGCCGCCAGGGAAAGCTCCCAGTGACTGCTTTTGAGGCCTTTGATCTGGAGGCCTGTACCTGGACCCGGCACCCAAGCCTGCCCAGCCGCCGGGCCTTTGCTGGTTGTGCCATGGCAGAAGGCAACGTCTTCAGCCTGGGTGGCCTGCAGCAACCGGGGCCCCACAATTTCTACTCCCGCCCACACTTTGTCAACACTGTGGAGATGTTCGACCTGGAACATGGTGAGCAGTGGCTAGCCTGGGCTGTCCCCCCACTTTCCATGGGATGGAGGGGCACAGTGTATGTCGTGGGGCAGGATCTGACTTCCCCTTTCTTGCAGGATCCTGGACCAAGCTGCCCCGCAGCCTGCGTATGAGGGATAAGAGGGCCGACTTTGTGGTTGGCTCCCTTGGGGGCCACATCATGGCCATTGGGGGCCTTGGTGAGTATCTGTGGGGCTAGGGAAAGGAACCCAAGACAGGAAGGAAGAGCCCCAAGCATGAACACTACCTCCTGCCCTTCTGCAGGCACTCCAGGGATCAGGGCTTTGTGACCTTCCCTTTCCCAATCTGTGAAGCAGCCAGGGTATAGTCTGCTTAGCCTAACTCTTGGGGTGCCCCTCAGCACCTGATTGATGGCTCTGTACCAGTAGGGGCCTAGGAGACAGAAACAGGACAAGTGGCCACTAAATGAATGGACAAATAGAAATCTAAAGAAATGAACAAATGATGAATGGGGGCAGTGGGGGCAAGGCACTGGTAGCTCATCCTGGGGTGATGCCTGCTGGGCCATCTATGGGCTCAGCAAGCAAAAGAGTCAGGGCCCTTGCAGCCGGGGCCCTTTACAACTTCTGTCTCCTTCCTGCAGGCAACCAGCCATGCCCTCTGGGTTCTGTGGAGGGCTTCAGCTTGGCACGGCGGCGCTGGGAGGCCCTGCCGGCCATGCCCACAGCCCGCTGCTCCTGTTCTAGTCTGCAGGCTGGGCCCCGGTTGTTTGTCATTGGGGGTGTGGCCCAGGGTCCCAGCCAAGCTGTGGAGGCGCTGTGTCTGCGTGATGGGGTCTGAATGCCTGATGGGGATGTGGCAGCTGGAGCAGCACAGTGCCAGGTGCACAGGTCCATGGCTCCTTTTGCTGCTGAAGAAGCTCATTGTGGCTCTGTGGGATGCGGGAGGCCCAAGGTCAGGTACAAAGAGTGAGGGCACTTTGTCTTTAGCGCAGGACACATATGCTTATACCCACCTTTATCCCCATTCATTCATTGGACCATGCCTAGCTCCATACTTGCTCTGGAACTACTGGGCCCTCTGTCCAACTGGGAAGTGGGAGGTTGGGAGAGCTGGCCTCAGGCCCCACAGGATTAGTGCCTACCTGGAGTTGACCAGTCTCACCCCAGTGGCTGTTCCTGAAAAATCCTAGCCGTCAGCCTACCTTGAGGGCCTCTGTGGCCCCAGGAGAATTCAGGGAAGTCAGAGGACACAGAGGGCATGGAGGAGTAGATGTAGGAACCTCCAGAGGACCAGAGGAATGGTGGCTTTGGGCCCTTTACACTGTTGACTGTGTGACCTTGAGCAAGTCATTTCACCTCTCTGTGCCTCAGCATCCTCATCTGTAAATGGGGATCTCTGAAACCTTCCTGCCCTACCTACCTCACAGGGCTGTTGTGAGGACCCAGGAAGTTCAGATGTGAAAGTAAAAGTGCTGCTAAAATCTGGTGTATGGCCCTCGGTGTGGACTCCTGTGTTGCCCCTGCAACCCCTTGCCCTCCTTCAGGGTCCTTGATTCTCCCAGGGAAGAGGGTTCAGAGTAGCTTTTCGGATCTGGCTTCTGCTCCCCAAAGTGTTCTGGTATCTTAGCCCCACCTAAGCCTTAGTTTCCTTTTTGGTGACGTAGGATGACTGCTGCCCCCACTGTTCTGGGTGTTAAAGGGCACTCACGGGATAGCCAGAGAAGAGCTCAGAAAACTACAGCAAAGCACCCCAGGGTCAGGATGACCTCCAGATTCACGTCACACAGGATCTCCTCAAAGTCTCTTCTCACCTCCGTAGGGAGGGGGTGTTCCAGTGGGGGCTGTGGCCAGGGCAGGCTCCTCCTGTCCCAGCTTAGGCAGAACTATGTGGCTTCCCACCAGACCCCTAGAGGCATGGTAGCCTCCCAGAGAAATCAGAGCTGCCAGCATTTGCCTCCTCCTCCAGTCTTTGTTGCTCACTAGAAGGGCCCACTGACTGCTTTCCCTACAGCTGCATGAGTGCAAGGGGCGCACAGCTGGGTTTACTGAAAGAATGGATTTGGGGTCCCAGAACTGATCTGCTATGACCGTGGCCGCCCTCCTGGGCCCTTAGGCTCCTGCAGGGTTTTCACTCAGTGGCGGGGTTCCCAGGGCAGCACCTCCCCTGCCCAGCACACAGGTGCCATGAGCCTCACCGCTGTCCAGCTTCTAAGAGCCCTTGGACTGCAAGCACAGAAAGGCCGCTGTGTCAGCTGTCCTTGTTTAATAATCTGGACCAGTTTAGACACTCCGAGACCCCAGCATGAAGGTAATGCTGCAGCAGCTTGGGTCTTGGGATCCCTGGGAGGTCAGGCAGTGTGTTGGTGACCGGTCCCGTATTGCTGCTGCCACAGTGGCCACCCCGGGATGGCTGGCAGAAGTTCTGCTGGTAGGTGGTGCTGGTTCGGGGAGGCTCGATCTGCATAAAGTGGATAAGGCGCTGGGGGAGGTCACTGAGTCCTGGGCCTGACCGGAAATTGGCCTGGTAGGAGGATTCAGGGGGCCGCTGCTGGCTCAACTCCAGCTCCTGGGGTGCCCAGCGCAGGAAGGTGTGCCGCTGCCACAGACGCTCCAGGTCTTTCCGCCTTCCGATTCCCTGCAGCAGGCAGTAGGGGCCCTCCTCAACGGTATGGGCCCTTGGCCCACAGTCCTAGCACCAAGCACCCCTTGGCCCCTCCTCAACCCAAGCCTACTTGGTGATGCCTGGCTCCCCTGGCCTGTACCCCAGTCTCTTTGGCATGCCTCCCCAGTCATGCCTTCCATTCCAGGGTGAAACCTCCAGAAAGCCAGTGGCCTCTAGAATATTTGCACATTGTCAGGCAAGCTAGTAGATGAAACCAAAGCAGAGGTACCTTTGTTTGGGAAATGGGTTGTTTCCCAGACAAGAGAGGTTTTCAGGAGCCCTCCCTCCCCTCAGTGTCATCCCCACCACCCTACCTCAACTTCAGTCTAGGCTGGGGCCCTGCCCGCTCTCGTTCCTTTCTCCAGCACTCACTTTGTCGAAAGAAGTACGGTTGTCATGCTTGGAGAACAAGTGTTGCTGTGCTGGCTCCTTTAAAGACAGTGAGAAAAAAGGTGAGTGGGGGGAAAATGATGCTCACCTACCCTTCAGATGTTACGTCAGAATGGAGGGAAGCTGCCAGGAGCCACTACCCCTAAACTGCTGAAATTGCCAAAATCCTGAAAGAGCAGCTAGAAATTAAAGAAATTAAAGCTGTCTGCCTTACTCCTAGGACATCTCCTGCTGGTATTTGCTTCCAAATCAGAAGTCTCTAGGGCTGCTGATTGAAGAAGGGGCTGAGGCATCTTCGAAGACATCCTGCCATCAGAAGGGCAGTGGTTTAAGTTTCATGTCACGTCCTTTAACTCTTAGATTGTCCAGGACCAGGCTTCAATTCTTTCCTACCCTCTGTCCACATTTAATCCTTCATCAATAACCCAAGCTCTTGGCCCTAAGTACCACCTGGAAATGGCCATTTCTCTATCTAGCTTGAGCTCTCTCCTGATCTCCAGACTCAATAGCCAAGAAGCTATTCCATATCTTCTTGTAAATGTCTTACAGGCATCTCCAACACATGACTGAGCTCTGGATCATACCCCAACCCCAGCCCTCCAGAGCCTTCCCCAGGTCAGATCATGGTAGCTAGATCCTGCCAAAAACCGTGGAGTCCCCTTGATTCTCTTCTTACACATCCTATATCCAAAGTATCAGGAAATCCTGTTGATTATTCCTTCAACATATGCCCAGGATTGGACCACTCCTTAGCATGTCCACTGCTTTCCCTGATCCAAGAAGCACATTCTTCTCTTGCTTGAATTATTGCAAGAGCTTCCTACCTCGTGTCCCTACTTCCAAGCCTTCCCTTCCAGTTTATTGTTCTCTTAGCAGGTAGAATAACTCTTCTGATATGTAGATCAGATCATCTCCCTTGTTTGCTGAAAGTCTACAACAGTTCCTCATGTTTGTAAAAGCCAAAGTCATCGTAGTGGTCCATGAGACCCACACAATATTGATCTTTCCATTACCTGCAACCACACTGGCATCCTTAATGCTTCTGAAACATACCAGCTATATCCACTTTGGGCCTTTGCAACACCTGGGTCTTCTGTCTGGGACTCTTCTTGTAGCTGGCTGTAGGACTCCCTCTCTCTTCCCACTTGGGAGGATTTCTTCGAACACTAAGACTATCAAGTGCCGTCACCCCAACTCTGCATTTTCCACCTTCTGGCATACTAGGTGACTACATAGTATGATGTTGCCTAATGTTCCTGACAAGAACGTAAGCTCCTTGTGGGCAAAGATTATTGTCTGTCTTGGTCACATCTATAACTCCCAACACTGAGCCCAGTGCCTGGGCAAATACATGTTTGCTGTTTAATTAAAGGACAGGGTTCAGAAAGTCCTCTGGGCATTTGCTTTGGCTCAGCTGGAGCCATAGAACCATAACCTATCCCCAGGCAGAGAAAGGCCACCCCCCAGGCCTCCAGACTTCAGTAGGAATCTCTCCTAAGACCATCCACCTTGACTTTGTGCCTGGTCTCTGGCCCTAGAGTTCCCTGTCCCCAGCCATTCAGCTTCTCCTGCTGCAGACCTGAATGAAGTGTCTGATCTGATGAGTTCAGTCTTGGCTGGGTTGGGGTATGAGCAATGGCTGACAGCAGGTTGCTAGATAAAAGACTGGGCTTAGCTCCATCCCAGATCCCTGAATCAGAATCTTCTGTGGTATGTATCTTTAACGAGCTCCCCTAGCAGGACCTCCTGCCCTAGGCAGCTGGTGTTGGTTTCCAAGTAGAATGAAAGCTCCATGAAGGTGGGAAGCCAGCCAGCCTTACCTTTCATTCCTCATAAAGCAAGCTGACACAACAGGGATTAAAAACCCAGGACCCTTTTAGAAAAAAAACAGGAAAAAATTTTTAGTATTTAGAACTAGGCAAAGAGTTCTTTGACTTGATACCAAAAGCAAGAGCAATAAAAGAAAATTGATAACTTGCACCTCATCAAAAAATTTTTAAAGTTTTGCTCTGTGAAAATTTGTATAAAAAAGATGAAAAGACAAGCCACAGACTGGGAGAAAATATTTGCAAACCAAATAGCCAATAAAGGAATAATATCTAGAATATATAAAGAATTCTCACAACTCAACAGGAAAATAACAATCCTATTAGAAAATGGGCAAACGTCAGATGTCTATTGACGGATGGATAAAGAAGTGCATGGAATGTTATGCAGCCATCAAAAATGAAATCTTGCCATTTGCAACGATATGGATGGAACTAGAGGATATTATGCTAATGAATAAGTCAATTATAGAAAGATAATTATATGATCCCAATGATAGGTGGAATTCAGGAAACAAGGGAGAGGATCGTAGGGGAAGAGAAAAAAAAAATGAAACAAAGCAAAACCAGGGAGGGAGAAAAATCATAAGAGACTCCTAATCTTAGGAAATAAACTGAGGGTTGCTGGAGGGTAAGGAGGTGGGAGAATGGGGTAAGGGGGTGATAGACATTGAGGAGGGTATGTGTTGTAATGAGCAATGGGTATTATAAAAGACTGATGAATCACAGACCTGTACCCCTGAAACAAATAATACATTTTACGTTAATTGATTGAATTTAAATAAAAAAAAAAGAAAATGGACAAACAAGATGAAGCCATTTCACTGAAGAGGATATACAGATGGCAAATAACACAAGAAAAAATGTTCGCCATCATTAAACACTAATGAAATGCAAATTGAGATCACAATGAGATATGACATATTTATCAGAATGGCTGAAATAGAGACAGTACCAAATGTTGTTGAGAATGCAGAGAAACTGGATCACTCATACATTGCTGATGGGAACACAAAATGGTACAGTCACTCTAAAAAACAGTTTGGCAGGGGCGCCTGGGTGACTCAGTGGGTTAAAGCCTCTGCCTTCGGCTCAGGTCATGATCCCAGGGTCCTGGGATCGAGTCCCTCATCGGGCTCTCTGCTCAGCGGGGAGCCTGCTTCCTCCTCTCTCTCTCTGCCTGCCTCTCTGCCTACTTGTGATCTCTATCTGTCAAATAAATAAGTAAAATCTTAAAAAAAGAAACAGTTTGGCAGTTTTAAAAAAACTAAACATACGGCCATCATATAATCCGGCAATTGTACTCTTAGGCATTTAATCTAAAGAAAGGAAAACTTATGTTCACCCAAAAACCTGAAGCAGCTTTATTTGTAAGAGCCAAAAACTGGAACCAGCCTCGATATTTTTAATAGGTGAATGGTTACACAAACTGGCATATGCATGCTATAGAATACTACTCAGTAATGAAGAGGAATGAATCATAAATCACCTGGATGAATCTCTAGGAAATTATGTTGAGCAAGAAAAACCAATCTCCAAATATTGCATGCCATATCATTCCATTTATATAATATTATTGAAATGACAAAATTTTAGAAAGG